GGTTGAAATAGTAAACATGCACCTGCTATCTCACTAAAAAAATGTTTTTCATTTGACTCACTAAAGAAAAAAATTATTTATGAGGAATGTTTCCTCAAGGTTAAGTTTGGGTGCCATTCTTAAAAGATGTAAACACTATCATTAAGCTTGGGATTATCATTTCAAAAAATTATATCACATGATGGTTGAAATAGTAAACATACACCTGCTATCTCACTAAAAAAAAAATGTTTTCATTTGACTCACTAAAGAAAAAAAATTATTTATGAGGAATGTTTCCTCAAGGTTAAGTTTGGGTGCCATTCTGTCAGGAAGTGATGGGAATACTCATTCTAAAAACCATGATCTTTTGATATTTATTCAAGATTATTTAGAAATTGATCTGTCTAAAAATTGAAATTAGGAATCAGACATGAGAATTTAAAAGATAAAGACAACTTAAGTGAACAAAGTAGTCTACTTAACAAATAGATCCAAATTGCCGTACGTCTGTTCAGTAATAGATCACAGAGGACGTCAAAATGTGTGTCACTGATGTTCTTACCAAATTTTGACGTCCTCTGTGATCTATTACTGAACAGACGCACAGCAACTTGGAATCTATTTGTTTTATATAATACAGAAGTTTTAACGATGACGTCATCTATACGTCTGTCCTCCAATAGATCATAGGTGAGAACCAATCAGAATGCATGCATAACTGAGCTTATTATATAAAGGTAAACAAAACAATTCATCATTCACATGCTATGCACGTTTCTTCAAGATGAGCAAAATAAACAAAATGGTCACAATTATCTTGTTTCTTCAAGCTAAAAGAATCTTAAAAATTCCAGTTTTGAAAAATTTGGGGAGGAGGGGGAGGGGGGGAAAGGGGGTAAAAGAGTCATAACATTTACCAACAGACATTTGCCCTGTACACACTTGAAAAATAAACAGATATGAACGACAAAAAAGAAGGTAAAACTTAAATAGATTGCTAGTTGGGTTTAACCATCTTAATTTAAGAAAAATAAAAAAAAAACCAAAGGATCATAAAAGCAATGATTTTACCACTCATATGACAAACTTTAACCAAGAATTGGGAGCATAATGTAGTATAATAAAAAAGTTTCAGGAAAAGCAATCTCCTTGAAAATATTGCTATTCAGCAGATAAATTTATGCAGTCTTTTCTTCATTAAATATATTTGTAGCATCCACTTTTCTAAAAATTCATGCTTCAATTAGTCCATCCATATACAGAATGTTCTGGAGTGGGATGGAGCCTCAACAGAAAATTAGCTTTCCCTAACAAGGATTAGCTCTATGTATTTGTCAAGTAAGGATAGTGAAGCTGACTAGGACCAGCACCTCAATAACTGACAAACTTCACTCACAATTGACATGGTTCCAAATAGCACTCTGTACACATTTCTTGCTCTGAATTGTGACGCAAATGTCATTTCATGGTTCACCAGAGTGATCAGTGTGTCATTTGTCTCATTACTGAATGAATGTGTACTATCAGAAGCATAAGTAAGAGAACTAGGGATTGCATCATTAATTTAAATGTGATAAAATCTTGCACAATAATTTCCCTGAACAAGAATTCTTTTAACGAATAATAGAAATTGAAAATAAAATGGACTGAGCAATAGCCCATCCAATAAATAAATGCCGCATCATCTGCAGTAATGGTTTCCGGTGTAACAGTTATTTCATTTGAGGCTTTGACTTTTAAGATTAAGTGAGGAGAATTAAATATTTTGATTTGGACCTTACCTTGATTTTTGGATGGTAGCCTTCCCCCTTAACCCCACTAAAAAAAAAATTAGTGTAGACTAGGAGGTGGCAAAGTGATCAAACTGTTTACATTATTTCAATGTTTTCCCCTTGACTGAGAGACTGATATACGAGATGCTAAGACAGTGGACAGGAAGTCTGACCTTGACTTTGGCCACTTGGGGATATTTAATAAAAGCACAAATTTGATGTGTACATGTGATTAAACACCATCCAATGTTTTGCTAGTCTGTAATTCATAATTTCTCGGTAATCTTGGCAGGCTTGACCTACTGAGCCTAAAATTGACACCATTTTTTTAACGCACACTATATATTGTGTGGCAAGGCTAACAGGAGATTGCATTCCAAAGTCCGGAAATCGACAGCGTACTTCTCACGAAACAATGAGAAATTGAATAGTGTCCCATGCAATTCACGAGCGCGAACGGGCAGCTTGGAACTTCTAGAAAAAGTGATTAGTTTATCAGCGATCTCTTGTATTTTAAATAACCCTAATGAAGTCAGATAATAACAAAAAACATAAAACAAAAAACGCTTTATCGAAACAAAGCAACCGCGTTCAAATATACAAGCTATGATCAAACGCCACGAGCAATTTCTGTAAGGAAACAAAGACACCTCATTTAGACACTGCCCACAAAAATTTTTAATATCAGTCTTTAACATTTGATCTTGATCAGAACCTCGTCAAATTTGTAACACAAATTTTCAAAACTCATTTGAAAATCGAAGAAAGTTTGCAGTAATAACAGTTTGGTATTTCGCTTTCGACATCTCATAAATTATACATTGGCTCAAAAGAATGCACGCCAGTTTCGCAAGGCGACCTGTCTATAATACTATTCCACTACGCTTTCGTTCATCAACATGGTGATTGTCAATATCCCCAAATTATTCGAAGTTTAAGTCTTTCGCTAAGTTCTTCGAGAACCACAGTATTTTTAGCTTGGAGACGACTTTCTCCAGAGTCTCACCGATTTGCTTATGAACATCAACAAAATATTTCCATTTAAACAGTTTTCTCCCAATATAACGCCGGGTAACCTTCACTGTCCACGCGCTTTCCCCACACATTTTCCCTCGCTTTCTTCATATCTTGGCTAGTAGCTTACTGTACGTAGTATATCTTCTAGTTCTGTTCCTTTAACGTACTATTACAAAAAAGGTACCAGTAATGCTGCGTTGAAGAAAGATACGGCGGAATTATACAAATAGAAATGGATAGTGCAAACTGACAACAACACGCTGCTACGAAATCATCTCACTGGTTGATGATTTGCGTTTAAAGTTTGTGTCTTGGGGCTTGTATCGGAGGCTTGAAGTTTTGCGAAAGCTGCCAAAGCATCAGGAAAGTTTGGAGGTGTGGCCGGCGTATTTGCCGGCGTTACAAGCTAGAAGAAGAGAAGTAAAAATTCTTGAATTAAGGTCATCAACGACATGAATTGCCAACGAGAGTGATACGAAGGACACTTACCGGATTGTGTTGATTATGCGACGGAATCGCGACTTCTTGAAAAAACAAACTTAAAGCAGTCTAGAGAGAAAAAGGAAAGGATGTAGTCAAACATTTTAGACGATTAAATCGAAAGTACACATCAGTAAATACGGAGTGCCAAGCCGATTCGACATTACGTCGAAATCAAAACAATCGCTCTATTACCTCAAACTGCCAATGTGCGGCCTGTAGAAGTTGTTTTGCCTGCTCTCTGGCGCACCCAGCAACCATAACAAACTGATTTATCATGGCTTGCTCTTTTAATGCGTCCATCTCGGCAAAAAACGGACCGAAAATCCCAAACACTTGCACCCGCTTTCACTGTCGGCGAGGCGAAAGGCCGAACACACCAAGTGTGTTTTTGCTAAATGATCACGTGTCATAACATGACGTCACTACAAAACAAACGAATTGATTGGTTGATAATTTTAGAAAGATGGTCTGATGTGACATTGTTATGGAAACGTAAGGGGAAAGAGCAAAAAGTTCAAACCAGAAGTGGCTCGCATCCAAGTGGATGTCAATCAAAACAATACTTTTATCCGCTATATTCTGTGAAATTTACTTTCACTGAAAAACTTCCTGCCAGCAATCTCCAGCAATCAACTCTGCGTAAGGTTTTATCTGTCTCTCGTCTGGTCGAAATAGATCTCCGCTGTCAGTTTGTTTGTCGTGTTACGTAAGTACACGTGTAAAGTACATTTCAGATGGTTAAATCACGCGATAAGGAAACTGAAAGATCCGCACATGTAGTCACTCTGCTTGGATCACTGTTGTTCCTTCATAAATTAGCTTGATCAATTGAAAACTGAAAAAGGTATAACAAAGGGAGAAGTGACGCAAAGCGAAAAAACGGAAATTCCTTTGTAATATTTGGTTGATTTTGTCATATTTCACTTTTACATAATCGTCTTTCTCGGAATTATGACCACAAGACTTCTTTCTCACAATGGACAACTTCAAGCTCAGTATGGGAAAATTAAACAGAAAATTCAAACTTTCTTTTGAGGCATTGTTGTGGTTGTTGATAAAGTTTGGCGGAAATATTTAAATATATTTCTCACGATTGAACTTGACATCGTGTGTGGTCAGTAACAAAGCAGGCTTGTATCGATATCATCATGCAAATTTTTGAATCGTGTTCGACCAAACGGAAAGAGTTCTTCCCGCCCTCTGGGTTTTGCGCTTTAAGCTTTGCGGTCAGATTTTTATTTGCATATGGGATTGGGTTACTGTGTAAACTTTCCGTGCGTGCTAAGCCTAAACTCATCCAGTCAAGTGTGACCTAAACAGCCCTTCGAAATATTTTATCTTTTTAAACTATTTGTATTTAAGCTTAGGAACACTTCTCAAATCTTATACAAACTCACGGAAAATAGCTTGGCTTACAACTCTTGACGTGTGTTTTCGTTCTTGCCGCTTCCATATAGAAATCTCTGAATTGAAATAATCAACTTGCCGAAAACAAAAAAAATAAGGGGGAGGAGAATGCAAAGTAAACTAGGGTGCACTAAAATAGCTTAGAACTCCTTTCCGGAAGCCTCTTTGTTTATATTATATTCCTGTAGGGGAGGGGCAGTCTGATATAAGTTGCCGTCTACACCCATGTGAACCGCTTACCGCCGAGAAGGACTGGAAGTCAATTGTATTAAACCGTTTATGTTTTAAAGTTTTGAGATGTACTTTCAGTTATTATAGAATTGCTTTATTCTCTGCTAAATGCCCTCCAAAAGAAGCAAGTCCAAAATATCTTTCAAATTATTTTCAGCAAATAATTATTCGCGGTTTGCGAGCAGATTCCCATTCTTGAAACAACGACAGATCAAGACAAAACTTTTTCAGTCATGGAGGAAGTTTAAGTTCAGTCCCGAAACCACGACGAACAAAGGAGGGATCCAGAAACTAAAATGTGTGAATGAAATTGTCGCTAATGGAGGTGAGGTTGTTTAAATTTTTGTCTTTCAATGAGGTAAAATAACGAGGAAGCTAGATATAAAATTAACGAAGTTTTGAATGCCCTCGTTCTAAATTTGTTCACGATTATCATATTAATTAGACAGTCCATTGGGAGAAGCCAAACGTTACTTGTTTTTTAATTAATGACAGCTTAAAAACTTGGAAGAGTGGAAAGTCTTTCCGATTTACTATTTGTGAAGCAAGTTTTACAGTCCGTTGAGAGCAAAAAAAAGATAGAAACAAAAAATTGATGGTTTGATTTCCTTCACAGATCATGGTGAATTATTCTAGAGCAAAAACAGAATAGTAAATTGTCCTCTCAGATTTTAAAACACTATTCAACAATGGAGAAAGATTTTTGTCTCTCTATTGCATAAATACGGCTGAAACCTGTGAAGGTTGCGGTTAGCTACAATTTGAGAAACGTGAAAAAGTTTTTCAGCTGCCATTAGAAAAATACTACTAACTTTTGGTACGAACAAAAACAGCAGCATTAGTCCTCTCCAAACCAATTGAAAGACTGCTGACTGCTGAGGGATAAATGCATGTTTTATGTTATAAATGTCACGTTGGGAATTAAAGAACTGTTGATTTTAAGCCGAGAGTGGCCCGCCAAAGAAAGGAGAGGAAGATGTCGCGGAGAAGAAACCTGAGCGTTCACCCATTAATAAATATTCAGTCAAACAGCGTTATCTTCAAGATGACTGTGCTAAAAGGAAAAGTATCGGAACAACAAATGAAGAGGATGACATATCCCCACTGCGCAGAGCTTCTAGGAGTTTGAAAATGACCGACAACACACTTCTCGCAAAACGAAAACAAAACGAGTTCATCGATCTATTTGAGGAGATAAACGCAGAAACGTTGTTGATCGAACCAGTTGATATCAGCAATATCGAGCTCTTATCGAGTGCTAGTGGCAGTTTTGATCGCAAAGAGAGGCTAAAGAAGCTTACAGAAGAGGGGACATCCGAAAAGGTACGCTGGGAGAGGGAAGTTACTGCCTCGTGACACGAGGCTTTGAAGGAATCGTTGCGTGACAGCTTAAATGTCGGCGGGAAAGCGCTGCGCCAATCCTTTTCATTACTGTTTCTGTTCTCTTCAGAAGTCCTCTTTTAATTAATATCACCTGATGCAGCCACTCCCCCCCTCCCTAAAAATAAGCAAACATTCAGGAGCAACCTTTTCCTACTGGACACTGACAGTGACTATTCCCTCCGAGAATGAGAACACAACCAAGAGCACGAAAGATTTAGGATATTTTACAATCACTAATATTTCACGTCCAAAACCAAGTTGATGTTGAAAAGCACTGCCTCTCCGTTGGGCAAAATGGTAAATCAATTCAGTTTGCTGTTGGGTAATTACTCTGCCAATGTCATTTCCTATGGTAATGTTTTACCGTAGGAGGCCATTTCAAACGTCACGTTTTTCGATTCGAGTTATCTAAGTCAAGTTATCTCATTTTTAGAGCAACAACACGGTTTCTGGAATGTTCAAATGGCGAGCCGACGGGAAAAATAAGAATAAAGTAAGAAATGGGGAAGAAAATAAACATGAATCAAGGTAAGATCACTTTCCCGACTGCAAGTAGTAAATCTCTAACCATAATTTGTCGTGCACGAGATGCCAGCTCTACGAAAGCGTGTGTATTTCATGCGTGCTGCACCGCTAGCCGAGAAGATAGCGGGAGCGAAAGACAAAGATTAGGCACGGTAGTAATTCATGTCAGATTACTTGTTTCGTCACGATTTTTGACACATCATTTGATCGACAATCAGGAGTACATCAAGTTATACCTGTTAGAAGATTAAAGCTTAAAGTTACAAATATTTGTGTGTAAAGGATTTAGATGGCTTGCGTTCGAATCCTAATGTTGATTTTCTTTCAGGTTTTTAGAGAGTAGCGAATGTGAAGGCGGCAGGAACTTCTTCAGCATGTTTGAACGCGAGGACGATATCTTTCTTTAAGCATGAAATTTATCCTGACTCAAAAGTTGACTTAAAGCTAACAGGTCTATTTTGACGATTCCAACCGATTGAATTTTACGCCTTGTAATACAAACATTTCATCCACTAATGTACTGCAACACTTTAATTCTCTCGTTTGATGTAAACCCTTTATCTCTCAGATGTGATCGGCCTTCCGCAAACAAGTGATGAGAATACTCGAACGTATTAGGAAGATGTTATCTTAATCTACCACCAAACTCTCGAAACTAAAATGCGTAGCAGCTAAAGGGAAGAATCAATATTCAGATCTTGAGGGTTACAGGGCTAATGAAATTCAGTGAAGTGGGAAAGGCAGCCTGAATAACCTGTTAATTATGATTTATTATAGAACCTGCTTTCAATGTTTATATCAGTATTCATTAGTATTCATTTCACAAAGTGATATATTTTTCCTCTGTTTTTTTTAGTACATTAGGGATGTATTTTTGGGTTAGTTTTCGCATGACAGCTGGAAAAATGACTTTACAAAATGTTACGAACAACAAAGTTTGTCTTTTAAATGTACTTTAGCAACGATAAATGCCATTAACTTGAATTAAAAGAATCAAAACAACAGAACACCATCAATGTTTGGTATTGAATACGAGCAACATGACGATAGTTATGCCGAGACATCAAAGAACTTTTTCATCATGACTTCTACAGCCTCCACAGAGTATTTGATGTACTTTTCAGGATTCTTTGTAAAGGGTAAATTAGCAAATCTACAGAAGAAAAAGAATCAAATTCAACCGAATCAACATGGCATTAGAAATAAAGTGTAGCCTGTGAGTAAGCCCTTAGCATTAGTGCTTCAGGATGAGCGTTTCTTCGCCTGCAGGAAAAAGTATGTGACCTTGAGCAACGCGGGCGAAATTTCTGCAAGGGGTTCCAGCATTATTAGGGCCAGACCCCTGGCAAACCTCTCCCGACTCGTCTTTAAACCTTCCCGCGGGCGGAGAAACGCGGGTCCTGCAGCACCGATAATGAAGGTCTGTGAACTAGTGCAAGTAACCATGCACTTCTCATAACCCTCTTATGACCAGCGAGATTTACTGGTGAAGTTCCTTGGGAAGGGAGCAACTTAGTTATTATCTAAGCTATTAAAACAATCGAACAAAATTGTGCGATGCCTTATCATTAAAGACTTCATTCCCAGGACTTCCTTCAACAGATAACTGAGTCACTTTCCCCTAAGTAGTACATATAAGAGAATTTCTTCGTAGAACTGACGCACCCTAATCACCAAGGGCACATCCAAGAATCTTCACCAGGTGAGTCCAACATTAATTCAGAAACCACAGATATGTTTTGCATTTTCAAAGCTAGAGTCTGAAAAAGCTAAGAAATACTGATTTCAAGTCACTACTTACTTTTGTCGAAATGAAGAGTAGAGGGGTAGAATAAGGTTCACATTTTCACCCCGCAGTTGATCTCGAAGCTGTGTATCAGGGACTGCATAGGTTTTCTGTATCTGATAAAGCTCTTCAAATTCTGTATTAAAACCCTAGAAGAACAAAAACGGGCATTTTCTTGGTAATGACATTTGTAGACCCTATTTGAGTGCTTGCCAACCCCCCCCATCGGCAAGGATTAGAACTAAAAACACGATGTGAACAACCCAGTCGTTCTTACCACTACCCCCCCCTCCCCTCCCTCCCTCCCTCCCTCCCCCCCCAAAAAAAAAAACAAACATACAAACAAAGCAAAACAAAACAAAAAAAGAATGTAGTCGACTATTATAAAGTCACCAATACAAAGGCAATACTCGACTTGGGAGGAAAGAGTTGGGGGAGGGTGGGGGAGGGGTGGGAAGGGAAGAGCATGCTTTCATAAACTCACTTTTATCAATGTTTACCTTAAACTTATCCTTTATCATTTGTCGCTGTTTATCTTTCAGCTACACAGGAAGAGAGAATAAAGGTAAGGTTGCGTATGAAATATGAAAGTAACAAGTTCATGTTTACGTGAAGGCCTCAGAGAATAAAATCACGTAGGTAATTTTTTAAGACTTGTTTTACTAGGAATAAAACAACAAATATTGTAGACAGCAGTTTGACTAGTAAAACTCTGATAAAAGAGGGCCGAGTTTTCAGAGTAAAGTTATGAAAAAACAAATGAACAAACCAAACGAGGTGAAACAAAAATGTCTTGCAAGTAGCGGGAGTCAACAGTGCGGCAACCTACATAATCCTTTCTCGCCGCAGTTACGACAAAATAAATATCCTTAAATGTCCTGGTTCTTTTAAACTTACCTTGGCCTGTGGATCATTTCCTTTATGACCTGACATTGGTTTCTCCACTTCCATTAAAACAGTAAGGACTTTATTCCAGCTAAAGAATAACAAACATTTGAATCAATCTTAATATTAAGCAAACAACGGCTTAGAGCTAGTCTGTCAGTCAGACAGTCAGTGAATTCAGTCAGTCAGTCATTTGTATATCAGTCAGACAGTCATCAATTTAAAATTAAGTCAGTCATCGAATTTTTCAGTCAGTTAGTCAGTCAAGGAGTCAATCAGTCAAGCAGCCCGTTGGCCAGTCCTTCTGTCAGTTAGTAAGTTATCAGTCCGTCAGTCAGACAATCAGTCAGTCGGCCCCTCCGTCAGTCAGTCAGACAGTCATCAGTCATTCACTCGGTCCATCCGTCAATCCATCAGTTAGTCAGCTAGTTTGTTAGTCAATCAATCAGTCAATCCTTTCGACAGTTAGGCAGTGAGTTGGTCAGTCAGTCAGTCAATTAGCCAGTCCGGCAATCAGTCAGTATTTTCATTGTCCGTTAGATAGCCAAATCAAACAACCAATCGTGACTCGGATATATTTAATGTAATACCACTTCTGATAGGTTTCTTTATGCTCAGCGATCAACTGCTGGTATTGATCTTCAACCCCTGTAATTCCACCTTCCTGAAGAAGAGTGAGGAGACCTGACCTACAGGCGACAAGATGAAAGTTTCGGCGACAATGACTCTCAATTTTACAACACAGAGAGAAATTTGAAAATTAAAAAAAACAGTTTTGTAGTAATCTATGGTAATTCGCTCAGAAAACCCGCGTTTTTCTTAGCTAACCCATGTCATGAACAGGGGTTCTGATTCTCAGAATTGTCATAAATTTAACAGCTGTCAGGATTTTCAGGAGCTCAGTAATAAAACGATCGCAGTGCTTACATTCGAAGCCCCGTCTTGTAAGGCCACTAGAACTTTGAAAGGTTTATTTCGCCGCCTCTGTTTGCGGCTCAGACAATCCTGTTTCATTCACTCCAAAGGCAAAAAATAAATACTGACTAAGCATGCGCAGAATAATTTCACGTTGCCTTCAATCAACAAGGCTTCAGACGCATAGCTGTCTTGACAAAAAAAAAACCATATTCTGGTTTCGTCTACCATAGCGCGCGCATATGGTGATTCCCTTAAGCTTATAACTCTGCATACGACTTCCAATGCTTATTTTTCAAGGGTCATGAATCAAACCATTGATGCCACTTAGCTATTTTACCCAAAGAATTGTCTCAATATAGTCGCCCCTCTTACCTTTGTAAGGCTTTTACTATGTAATTGTAATTATTCAGCAGGAAGAGAGAACTAAGCGTTGGTGCCTCGTACACTGTTGCCTTGAGCTCAAGATTCAGACCCAGTGCCCCAAGTACACGTTCTACAAAAGACAGATAGGTGTAAAGGGAATAGTTTATGTACTACAATTTGTACCCATACAGGTTATTCGAACTGTATCTACTGAACAACACTTTCCCTCTAAAAATATTTTTCACTTTTGTGTAAGGTTCGTATTTGCTTCTAACTGAGTAAGTGATGAAGTGAGTTCCTAAATCACTTGAAAACAGAAGTGTAAAATTTGTAAAAAATACACGAAGTGAAGACAACTTGATACTCACGAATGTATTCAGAGACAACCTTTACGAAGAGTTCTCTTTCTCTTGTGAAGAAATTTCCGCTCTGGTCCTCTGCAATATAAAACGTAATCAACAGAGGAACCTAGAGAAGGCAGCGTTTCAGTGCGGTCAGACCATACATGTATTTCTGATCTTTGCCGCAGTACTTTGCGATTTCCATAAGTCTGCATTTGTAAATGTGCTAACAGTACGGCAGGAACATATGTATCAATATAAACTAACTGATGGAGCGAGTAGATGGAACTCTTTCCGCATCGCAGGTACACGATTTAACCAGGCGCCAATGAGCGAGGCATCACGCGCGCATGTATGACCATCTTCGCACATTTACCGCACGATATCGCGCCTGTCACGTTAGCTAACTCTTACCTTGCATAGTTACCAACATGCTTCCTACTGTTTCAGTGTAGGGTAGGAGCTGTTCCATGAAAATAAGTGTCTAAAAACAAATGAAACGGTGAGACAGAGGAAAGTGCAAAGTATGTCAAGTGTCCTGATTTGACTTTGTCGTACCGTTCAGGAGTAGTGCTGATAAGAATATTGAAACAATCCATATTTGCTGGACATCATAGAACTGTACTACGTGAGACCAGCACTCCGATAGCTTAATCACTTTCTTGTCTTATACGGCATTACTGCCTAACTAAAAAGAAAGGTTCATAACATGATAAAACATACGTTTCTAGTGAGTTCATGAACTGTTCCATCGCTTGGCATGTTAGAATGTTTGTCAGGATTTTGCTGAAATGAAAATTCAAGATAATTTTATGAATAAAACATACGATTTAAGTCTACCTTATAAGGGTGACTTTTTAAACGAAGGGCATCGAATAAAACCATAAGAGCGCCTAAGGTAATTTAAGGTGTTCTAGGAGAAAGGTTATGCCCATCTTTTATGAGCGGAAACTGTAATTTCTTCAAGAACAACACACATCGTTGCCAAGGCAGATAAACGAGACAATAACAAAATTCTTACAAGCCCAAAATTACGTTAAAGATAACTTCATTTTCACCTTAATGCCCTCCTTAAAATCGTCCAAGGCCTTGGCAGACTATGAAACAAAACAAAAAAAAATGGGTTATCTTTTAAATATGTGCAGCAGCTTTAATTTCATGTCAATACAAAGTTGTTTTTCGATGAAACCGTCCAAGATTACCCAACAATGCTAACAATAAGTAAATGAAGTTTCATAATAAGTATATCTTAAGTGGTTTGTATTTTGGTTCCCTTTCTTTTTTTAAGAAGTGTCTTGTGAGGTAAACCTGTCTGCTCATCAATCAGTTTGAAGTTTCAACATCCCCCTCCCCAGAAACCCAGGGGCATTTGACCGTCGTCTGAGCCCGGGGATGGGGAATTCGAACCCCGCCTGGCTGAGGTGGGCAATTTGAACCAGAAGTTTCAAGTCTTTCCAGCGGAATACAAGTCTTATATGTCTTTAAGGTAAATAGCTGACTTTAGCAAGAGAATGGCTTACAAGAAAGGTCTACAAGGTCTGGGTTTTAAGCTTGGTCAATGGGTAGAAAGTTATGGTCGCTGGTGTTTCCTTTTAGCGGCGGGGCATTTGAACAAAATGTTTTCCCGTGGGGCAGGAATTTTAACAGACCAATCTTCAAAAGTTCAAATGCCTGGGGAATTACCCAGGGGATGTTGAAGCTTAGAATGAATGGACTCATTACGTTATTCGCTGAAATGACTTACCAGGGACTCCAATTCATGAATTAGAGTTGGGAACTGTTTTTGGGTTCTGTGAAATGTCTCCTGCAAGGAAAATGAATCCATATCTTGTAAAACGAGAAAACAAGATCTGTTTTGAAAGATTCTGTCGTGTCTCTAGAGAGAGCCGAGCGGCTAGGACTTGTCCTTTTATCGACTTTATCTCCACAGGAAAACAAACTAAAACAACATCAGCAGTACATTGAAATAAATATCATCGTACCTGCAGTGTGACGTAGAAATCAGGTTGAATGGCATTGAATTCCTTAAGTATTGGAAACACCTGCTGAATGGCGGAGTAGTTGTGCTTGCCAAAATGTCGCTTCAGGATACTTATGATGGACTGAAAGAGAAAAAAATTAATGTTTAAAAAGCTTTGTTGCGCGTTCATCAATGATATGACGGACAGGTTTGTCTTTGAAAACATGTAATTAGCTCCAAGTTCTAAGAAACATGCAACTGGCTCCAAGCGCGGGAAAAAATGCAATCGTATCTAAGCGCCAGAAAACATGCAAGCAAATCCAAGTGCGGGAAAACATGCCTATGGCTGCGAAGGAAAAAAACGCCACAGACTACAAGCGCTGATGTAAAGGTAAAATCGGTACCAACGTACGAGAGGAATGCGCGTTTCGACTGATTTTTAATAATTAAGACCAAGATTCGTTGTGTTTAAATGTTACTACACGAAGAGGAATTGCAAAAGAATATTACAAAAAACTGTCGCGTGATAACATGGGGATCACTTACCTCCCCTTCGGCAATGAAATCCTCCATAGCGGCCTGAATAAGTGTATCAAAAGTGGTGCTTTGACTCTGCTCGGGAATGATGCTCTTCATTAGCTCTCGTTCACTCTAACAAGACAGTATGGATACAACAAAAAACAAAAACACTAACATTAGAGATAACATCTCTTGCTGCACAAACAGACTAGACAACGTTTCTTTTACGGGTAAAAGATACCCTCAAAATTTCTAGAGTTTGTGTTGACTTGCAATATTGACCAAATTATACCATTTCTTCTTAAAAGAGTCACAATAACTGTAAAATCCTCAGTGGGATTAAGAATCGAACCCAACAAATCTTCTCCTGTTTCGCCTTGGATACTTGACGACCCTTTTATCTTACTTCAGACCACACCGCACTTTTTGCAATTTCTAATCCAACTACTGACCTGTATGAGTCTCAGCAAAGATTTACAAAACACAATGTAGTTTGCAGCATCAATTTCCCTTAAAGAAGTGAAACAATAAAATAAATTAACTTACTTTCGCGATATTAGAATAAGTTTTGCCGTGATACGGCAGGAGTTTCAAACGGGCGTGTCTTTCACCATTGATAATTGATACTTCAAAGGTTAAATTAAACTTACTCTTCTTCTTCTTTGGAAGCTCCAACCTCTGTTGGGATGGCTGAGGTACGACGAGGAAGACCTGACAGAATTTGAACGAGAATAAAAGTCACCTTAAATCATACAATAAGAGCACATCAACTGATATCCTTCTCATTGCTCAAAAGCAAGCTAAGTTCCTTAATGACAAGCTATCAAATATTTATTTCAATGGAAAAAACACCTCCTTTCAAAGAAAATCGTGAAAAATAATCATAAAAACGTTTACCATGATGTTCTGACTTTGACGGAACACGACGCAAGCCTCTGAAAAAATAAATTGAAATAACTTTTTGTCAGGAAGTAGAGAACAGATTTTACCTTGTAATTCAAGACAAGGCACATGGACTGAAGCAGTCTGAAATTACTCCCCCAGTAACTTCCTGAATTGTACTCTCCTCGGTCCTATCTTTTTCCAACAACAATTTAACCCTCAGATGTACCAGAATGAGGAGATGGGATCTAAATCTTTCTACCTCTTCCTTTTTTTTTTTTAAGCAAGAACTATTTTATTTTGCCATTTTGAATAAAGATTAGTAACAGTGAGTATAGTTGGGTAAATTTGTTTGTGGGCAAATTGTGATTGTGAAGTTTCCATCATTTTGAGCATACATACTATGGAACCATTAGATCGTTAAATTTGCATGTACTGTTTTGGTAATTCAAGTTACTTCGTAAAAATCCAAGTTGGAGACCTATATAATTGAAAGTTAAGTTATCAGAAGTGAAAATTAACTAATATCAGCATACTCTCTTCTTTTAGCTGTTCCCTTTCTGGTGGGTGTGGTTATACCACCTGTCAATGATAAAAGAAACAAATTCAGAGTTGTACAGTTAATTCATTGAGTCACATATTGTTTGAAAAAATTACAAATCCCTTACAACCATATAAGTAACAACAATAAACCAACAAAGGCATTGCTTATAACAAAGACTCTCTAGTATTTAGTGTTTTGGGGAAAATAAAAGAAAAGACCAGAACTGTCCTTCAGTAAAGTTCTGAATCTCCTTGCTGTAGCCTGTGTGTAGGTGTACCCTCTCCCCCAACGAGCATCAGAAGGGGGTACAGCTACACGCGGGCTACCTTGCTTCTACTGCAGGTGAGGTAGTGCCTGCACATGGGACTACTGAAGATAGGTCAGGGAACTTATTTTTTTCTCTGTATCATCAAGTGACTTGGACCATGGCTACCCCTATGAAGAGGGGAGTGGAGGAGGGAAGGTCAATGGCAGGTTACCCCACAATTCTAAGTCAAGTTTCTCTAAAAGTATACCCAGGTTCAATTATATTCCTGGGCAGAGAGGGTAAGTATACAATTTGTACAATTAAACTGACTGATACCAACCTGGAGCAGACTTCATCTTGCTGCCATAACACTACATAAAATCAAAAAGACCAAATACAAAGCATTGTTTACTTTTCAAAAAGAAAACAATTAAAAGTCATGAACAACTTTACATTTTTAAGTACAGGTATCACACAAACAATGGTTGGCATTCTGTTGATGATAAAAAATAGAAAAGGAAGATTTACTGAGTTTTAGGAAGGAAACGTCTCGTTAGTTTGAATGCAAATGAAAGATAAATAGTTACAATACTTTCTCTGAGTAAAATACATGTTTTTAATGCAGATCACCATGACTTAATATGCAGTTAACTTCACATTCTTCTCTTTTAAATGAAAGAAACTGTACTTACATCTTTTAACCTGAAAAGGAACAAAAAAAAAATGCCAGTTGACATACAAATCTTTATCTCTTTCCACCCTAACATCAGTATGCATATTCTCCATACTGTTTTCTATAAATTTCCTAAGGAGCTGACAAGGAGAATTTGTTTGACAATCATGAGCTCTTTTAGTTAATGATCATTTCCTTTTTTCTTGTGACCCTAATGTTTGATTCAGGGGTGATATTGTAAGGAGAAATTAGATGCTAGTCATTCTAAGGGGTTAACTGGGGTTGAAAGGAAGATTTCTAAATGCAGCTCAAACATATAACAAACTTTTCTTTGCAACTAGAATGACTTACCCCTGTAGAGATCGCACAAGGGAATTAGATCTGATTTGGGCATAGACACTCATAAAATCTGAAGGACAAACAAAACGTTAAGTTCTATTGGGGAAGTGGTTTTAAAATCCTAATAGTGGAGCTTGTGTAGCCTCATAATTATACAAAATAGTAGTAACCCGTCAAGCCAAAAAAATTTGGATGTACGACCATACAACTGTACAACTGTACAAGGTGCTACTTTTAGCACGAGTGGTCAATTGTACTGTGGGCACACCAACGCCACGGCTTTGTCCAGTAGTCCAATGGTCAGTGCAAGTTTGCATGTTATTACAGAAAAAAACTAAAAATATATTAAAAGTATTTAAATAAACAAATTTCTAGAAAATAACAGTAAAGGATAAAGCTCCACAGAGTAAATTCCGTTTTCTTACCCACAGTTTCATCATATCCAGGTCCATTCAGCCAGTGGGTTATGGTACATAAGTCTTCCAAAACTTTCTCTGTAAAAGAAGAGACAGAACATTAACACAGATCTGACCACTGATAAAGTAATAGATGGCTTTATGAACGGAGGGAATAGGTTTCTAAAGAAACATTACTGTCGTGCTGTGTTGATGGGAGGGTAATGTAACAAGGTTATTTGGTATTATCAACCGAGTTGATAATATAAATTGGCCACCGTGAAGAGTTTCAACGCTGACATTTTGAGTGTTAGCCATTTGTTGGAGTGAATGCGAAGGGCTGATGCTTGAAACGTCAACTTTGAAACTCTTAACCATGATAATACTGTTGATAATATTAAATTACCCTCACATGACTTCAGTTGTGACCTAAGTCAACACAGTTGACATGCACTCCATGCTTGCTATCTGACATTACTGTAGACCTCTACAGCTTCCAGTCTGCCATATTCATTTGAACTTAAATAACAATAATAATAATAATAATAATAATAATTACAATTAAAATAATAATAAGAAGGTTGGTTACAAACCTGATAAATGCTCTAGCTTGACATTTTCCTTTGAGTTTTCTTTAGAGAAAAATGGAAAAAAATAAATGTTTAGATTAAGATGGCTTAAAGGAAAGCCCAATTCATCAATAACACTCTGTGAGTAAAAAATATAAATTGAAAAGGAGGGAAAGCCAATATAATAGAAAGTGATATATTACCATTAAAGTTTGAAGTTCTCTAAGCTTTTGATCTCTATTTTGCTAAGCTGATACATTTTGACAAGACTTAAAGTATACTATTTTTGTCCAGTGTGTTGTTCATGTTTAAAAAAATATTTCATATTAGAATGATTTCAAACAAGTCTGATTTGTTTCTCATTTGGTTTAAGGGTTGCCGTAAAAAACCTAAAAACCAAAGACCAAGTTGAATTAAATTTAATTGAAATCATTTTGAGCCAATACTTGTGATAAACTACAACAAGTATATCCGGTTTACACAGGGACAACTAAATGGTAAAAATTATAACTGAAAAGCAACCTGTCTCACTCTCCACCAGTTCCACAATCATCTCCACAGGAACAGGTTTACTGTGCCTGTTTAACATCAGGCGGAATTCTTTCTCTAGTGAGTCACGTCCATAATCACGCAGAGCAGTCTGCAAAGAAATGACTCACTTTACCAACAGTGACTAAAAAAATTTCTTTCATACATTATGAGACTACTTTAATCTTGGTGGCCACCACCTTATCCCTTTTGGCCACCTTTTATAAGGCCACTTTGGAAATCATTGAGCTTATAGCAAGGTACAGTTTTGCAAAAACAACTCAGTATACATACCAGGCTAGAGAGTTCCATGCAATTAGGATTGTTGTGATTAAAGAACTCAATTGCATCTAGCACTCTTTCAAGATTTTTAATGTAAGCTTCAAGTTGACCAGTGGGGCTGGAGGAAAAACAGCATTACAATAATAAGTGTTACAGCAATTATAACTGTTTTAACCGATCATTTCACTCCCAGGACGACATTTATTAATTAGTAATTCTTCTTACTTTCTGCTACACATTTCTTATAATGTTAGTTCTGAGAATTTGGTATTGAATCAACTTATATCACCTAATTGATATTTTTCTTCATTCACACCATTAAATATCTGCTTGGTATTGTCTTGATATTGTGGGGAGAAATCTTCTCTTGGTCATTCACAGAAGTTAAAGGCCTAGGGAAATCTCCTACGTTTGCCCTGTTTGAAAATGTGCACTTGTACCATTAATACTTACGAATCTCTGATGACATGTTCCACACTAGCAGAGACATGGTGATAACTAATCACATGATCCAATGCCGACAAACATTTATCAATATCTGGGAATGGTTAAGAAGTTTAATGTTACATAACAATTTAATGAAACCGAGCTTTGCTCTAGGTCTGCTTAAAACAGCATGTAAGCCTCCTTCTGTTGGATGGACTTCCAGTTAAAGTTTGTTTGTTGTTTACTTGTACATAGTATACCATAATATCTTTTTGGTGTGCTTTCCTGTTTCATTACAATTTAAATTAATAAACAAATTTAATGAAACACATCTGCACACTAAAAATGTTCAAAAACCTGTTGATGCCTTAAAATTGCTAGCCTCTCTCCCAGAGAGGAATTTCTCCGTATCTTAATTTCTTAGAAATGTCTGAAGGAGAGGCTGAAAATGCCTATTGAGTAAGTTCATAATTAAAAGTACAGTTGAACCTGTACTAAGCAATCATCCACAAGGAATGGTAGGGTGACTGCTAAATAAAGTTGACCACTGACTACAGGTTGCACAGAATGGGTGTATCACAAAAGCATCATTTTATGCCATAATTGATCACTTTCAATGTACAAGCACTCACTCAAAATACTACAAACATTTATTTCAGAACATGGCATACAATGACTTGAGATATTATTCTTAGTTTTATTTGTCTAATGAGTGGTTTTGTGCTTTTTAAGGATACTAGCTTGTCTTCTTTGCAAGTCATCAGTTTCCCGATGAACAGGAACAATGGTGTCTTCCAGTTTATGTATGCGCACCTCAAACTTGGACAAGATATCAAGCTATAAATACAAACAAGTAAAACGGTAATAGATTTTCACCCTCATGACAGGAAAAATATCCCAACTAGGTATGCATAAAATATCCTTTGAGTAAGCACTGTTTTTCACTGCATGCCCTTGAATACTGATGAGAATATTAGCACTTAACATTAAGAGGGTCTCTCACCAGATACCAGGACAATAATTGTTTAATTTATAACATCACATAACATTTTTTGTATCATCCTCCCCAGGGTGAGTATTACATATATTACCAGGGGTATCCCCCAAACCACTGGCCAGAATCATGAATAAAACTCTTGATAGAAGTCATAAGCATGAACAGTCTGTGTGTTGAGCTCTGAGGCAAACAACCTCTGTGGGACAGTCATGTTTTTGTTTTTTTATAAGTTGACTCATTATCATTGTCAATTGTCTGAATAAGAAAAGTTAGCAACATGGAATCAAAAGTGGAATTGTACTCACCATGTTCCCTGTAATTTGATCAGTCTTTTCCAAGCTGTCTTTGAGAAAAGCCAAGATGTTTTTCTCCTGAAATGAAAGAAAATTTGTAAAAGAGACTTGATACCTTCTTTTCTTGTTCATATAACCTATCTTTCCAAAGCTTTTGGCACTCTTTACTCCTAGAATTTAATAGCTAAAATGGTATCATCATGCTAACCCTGCACAAGCAAACGTACAGGAATAACCTGCGAGCTATGAAGAATTAGAGACAGAGTGTTGTTTATGGAAAAGCAATATTGAAAAATTACGTGCGATAAATGCAAGATGGTTCTCAGTACTCTTCAAAATACAAAAGTGAAAAAAATTAAGATGATTATTAATTACCAGCAAATCATTTTGCGAATTATCAAAGAATTTTAATCGATAAACGTGGGGCTGTACTAATTAACTGACAACATACTGATTAGAGCGAATTTTACATGGGCGATATCTCCTTTTTTTATTTTACGCCACAAAAATTAACTTAAGTGTAGAGAAACGAATAAATGTTCAGAAAGTCGAGTTAGACGCACAGAAATACCCATGTTGGGTTTAATTTCCTGCCAGCCACCAGTAGTGAAAATTACCCCAGGGAAATACCTGAGCTAGTTTGTCGTCCAGCTGTCGTTTCCTCAGAGAAATGTCATCCATCGTTATCCACAGCAAATCGAGCTACTATCCTACTGGTTTTCGATCGCAGTTCATTTTTTTTTGCAATGAGAAACTTATTTTTCAACGTTTGGTTGCCAAAAAGTCAACGGCTCCTTTGCTGCGAATCCTCTCCGATGTTTTGATTGCAGTCGAAAATTACCAGCGGCATACTTATATGAACATAGAGTAAATTGTGTATTGAGCACGAAATATCTCAGAGAAATCCAAAATGGCATCCATGAAAACATCTCCAAGTCTGGTCAATTTCTTTATTTACAATTCCACTTTTGGACCTAAGGAAGGAATGGTATGTTCTTTTTTTCGTTTTGTTCCATACCGATGTTTACTCAATGGCGTTCATCGTTCGTGGAAAGCAAATTAAACTTCATTCAACCTTTCCAGAGTTCCTGTGATCATGAGTTCCTGTGATCATGAGTTCCTGCAACAGTCGTGTGCAAGTTATATCCAGTTTTGTGAATTTCTGAATTTTTTTAGGGTTTAAATAGGTCGTATTTTGGAAAGGGTATCCATTGAACGGCCATCCTAGCCCTGAATGCTACTCAGAAGGTCTCTTTATTAGTAGCTGGATCGAGGAAACCTGAAATTAGGTGATTTTAATAATACTTTGTTTGTGAGTTTGTTTTTTTTTTTCAAACAACAGGAAAAGGAAAAGATAATTCTCTACATCCCGACTGGCGAAGAACTAGACAAGAAAATAAAAAACATTGGCCTTTGTGAAGCATTGGTTAAGTTCACTGAGTAAGATGAAATCTCCTTGAAGCTGTCTTGTACTTGTTAGAGACGTTTTCGCAGTGTCAGAAAAATATTATAATTTTATATATTTGTATGCGAGCTCATTAGCAATCCAGGGTTCGCAAAACTGTTCAGCACTTGCATGGTGCTAATCTAGCAATCGATTCCAATCACCACTCCTAATATACATCTGTAAATAAAAAACAAAAACAGAAGTCAAGTGAAACAAATCATGGTTAAAAACCCTAACAAGTGGGTGGGAGGCCAATAGGTCTACTGCATACAAGAAAATTTAATTTTTGATTTGTTACACATTTTTTTCAACTTGCATACTGTAGGACATTCTCACCAGAAAAACCATGCAACTCTTTGCACACACAGAAAACAAGACAGGTCTTCTTTGAAGCAGAACCAGAATTCTGGATGATCATGGTAGGTGTTTTTTGGTTTGTGAGATATGCAATAGTTTCATAAATCAGCATTTGAAAAGGTAGCATTTAATTTCTATGAAATCCCAATCATGGATATCTTGCCTTGAGCTAACCAACAGGTACAACAGTATTTTTTAACCCTTTAACTCCCAGATCAAATTTGAAATTCTCCTTAATGTCAACCATGGAATTCATATAATGTTAGTTCAGAGAATTTAGTATTGGATCAACTAATTATCCCCAAATTGAAATTTTTCTCAATTCTCATCACTTATCAGTTTGATATTGCATTGATATTGTAAGGAGAAATTCTACCTTGGTCACTCATGGGAGTTAAAGGGTTAACACTTAGGTAACTTGAAATTAATTTTGCAGACAGTGAGCATTCCCTTCAGTGAGAAGATGACTAAGGATGGCAAGATGTTTGTTGAATATCATGATGAAGATGTTTTGGTGAGTACCAATACTTGTTTCCTTCTGTAAATGATGGCTTAAACATATTTTCTTAGTTATTGATTCTTTATTCCCCACTCAGGATTCTGTGCTAGATGGTGTTTTAAAACAGGCATACAAAATGTTTAAGGTAAGAGAAAAGTGTGCGTATTGGGAGAGGGAGGGGTGGACGAATGTGTTTGTATTAGGGGAGGAGAGGGAGGAGGATGTAGACTGAGAGTCTTACCAGCAGCTCTCTCCAATTGCTATTCAGGTTACAGCTGTAGGTTACTATGTGTGAATAACTTTTTTTGGCATTTAACAAGGTGAAATAAATCTGTTATAATAATTGGCTGTTTTCTCTGATTGTTAATGAAATTAATGACTGTGTATATATGAAAGTCATATATTTGAAATGCAGATAAAGACATGAATATGAAATCGATCTTCACAGTAATGAACGCTACTTGAAATGTAGTGAAAATAAGGCCTGGAGAAATATTGGTTTATTTGGAACCAACATAATGACCAGCTCTTAGTTGGCTTGTTAGTGCAGTTGGTGGAGTGCTGCACCAGTATCACAGAGGTCATGGGTTCAAGTCCTGTACATGCCTGATTTTTTTTTTCAGGCCTTATTTTCACTACTGCTCAAGTAGTGTTTATTACTGTGAAGATTACTTTCATATTCACGTCTTTATAGAATGTAAACAATTACAAACCCACTGTTAGTTAATTATTACCATTGATTTCTAAATAAATAACTGATGGGTGTTTCTCAGCTTTTCAATGGCACATTCTCCTACATTTTGAAGACCTACAACATTGAAGCTCTATGTAAGAGATTGGAGCATTTTTATACCTCTGTAAGTAAACACACTTTCCTGTTCTCTAGATGTTTACTTTTGTAGATTTAAATTTTCTATCATTGCAGTAGACAGTGTTAATAATGATTAGTCATAAGAACCATAATTAGATCAACTATTAACAATATATTTTATAACGTATTATTATATATTGTTAAATATATTGTCACAATATATACAATATATTGTTAATAGTTGATTTAATTATGGTTCTTACCTACTGTATTCATTAAATCTTACTTTAATCCTTGTCATGTCATCTTGAAACCTTTTTGCTTACAACTTCAGTTGTGTTCGGTATTACTGATTTTTTAGAAGTTGAAAGTTGCTGCTAAAATAATTTTGCAATCATTTTAAGTATTTACAGACCCTCAACTTCTCTCAGTTTAACCTTTTGGATGTCTTTTCTGGTGAGTTAGTCAAGACAAATTATAATAAATTAATTCATTAAATTAAGTATTTTTAAAGGGAAAAGGTAAAAATTTACTTCCTCATGAAGACTTTTGAAGATAGTGTATCTAGTCATATTTACAGAAAGTTGAAAAACGTTTAATTTATATGTTTAACTATATGCAAAAAATTTCTTTTCTCACTCTGCTTAGTTAATATTGTCTTTGTCAACTTCTTCTTTTGTATTTTCAACAATATTTACTTTGCCATTTGCAGACAAATGTTGAATAATCAAAAGGATTTGCTAATTTTTATAACCTTTTTTTTTTTAAGGGATCAATTTTCTACCATTAGATAAAAACACCTTTTTAAGGATACAATCTTTTATCAATGTGATTGAACATACATTCAGGTAATTGTTTTTAAGTAATGACTAGTGAAGAGGAGTTGTTTCTTTGGGTGTACATTTGTAAGGAAAAATTGTTTTCACAGACAATTTGTAAATTCACAATTACTAAATGCAACTGCCAAATTTTTGGCCGGTTTTTTCTCTCCTGTAATTTTGTCTCATATTTTAGAGCAATGTATTTAATAACCCTCTCTGAATAGTGTTAATTCTTGTGAACAAAATACATGTAAGCAAATTAAATGTATCCTCTGGTTTTCCTGTTCTTGATCATTCAAACTTCAAACAGTTGAATTTCTCAGTTCAACTCTTGTACTGATTATTACCTAATATCAGTTGAATATCTTTTTGGCTATGTCTTATGATCCATTGTATTTTGCGACAAAATGAAAACCTTGCTCTTTGTAACTTACCTTTTCTTTTTAAATTACATTTGGTGTATGCCTCTACTTAATTGTTATCTTACCATTGAAAATGTTAATAAAACTGATCTCTCTTTCAGCCAAGTAAGATATACATCCTTCCTTTATTCCGAAAAACTGGTCTGGTGAGTGATGAATGATCTATAATAATAATAATTTTATTGTTTTATTATAATTTAATGTTTACCACTGTTGATAATAATTCTATTCTTGTTGTTTTCAAGGTGGAGCAATATAAACTGCTGACCCAAAAATTTTTTTAATTCTGATAGGTTTATGCTGACCAGTGACTAAACTCAACTGGCTAACAATATTGTTTCATCTTAATATTCACCATATTTGGTTGCTAAACTGTTAACTGTTTAAAAAATTTGTTGCTTCTCATTACACTCACAGGAGTGGTCTTGAACAGGAAGACATGCGTATCCTTTACAAGTACTTGGTGACAAGTTTATTTCCTTCCACAATAGACTTAGAGGTACTTATTATGCTCTCTGCATATTTTAACTTAACCCTTTACCTCCAAGACCAAATGTGTAATTCTATCTACTGTCAACTATACAACTCTTATCATGTTAGTTCAGAGAATTTAGTATTGGATCAACTAATTATTCCCAAATTGATATTTTTCTTTATTCTCATAACTTATCTGGTTGATATTGTATTGATATTGTAAGGAGAAATTCTGTGTTGGTCACTCATGGGATTGAAAGATTGTACAGTTGTAACTCTGATTTTTTTCTCTTTTTCTATGTTTGTTATTTGCTGTACAGAATTATTGTTAATTAGTCAAGAGTAATCCTCAAACTGGTTATTCAGCTGAGTGGTCCTGATACGTAGGTGTAAAAAATATTTTAAAATCAAATTTTTTTATCTGTGGTTCTTCTCCCTCTAGAGTATGGAAAATCCAAGATCCCAAGGGTATGTTGTAGTTCAACCCAAGCCTCACCATGGAAGGTAACACTACATCAAAAACTGACCATACTTCAACTTTATTAAAATGATTCATCCCTTACTAGCTTAAGGCACAAGTTGATGAAAATCAAGCAGGAGTTAGGGATGGAGAGGTGACAACTTTCCTCTTAATGACTATGCAAGAGACTCTTGCAGAGACTGCCTGCATGATGAGAGAATCAGAATTGAAAATGAAACATGTTCAGACTTGATTGATGGGATTTTTCCATGCACAAGGTCAATATGTTCACTCACAAAGGAAAACTAGGACATTAAATTCTGAATTAGGATGTCAAGAGTTTTTCTCTATTTTCAGGTTCATAACAGGTCCCACTGAATTGGATGACGTTCCAATACCAAGACAACCACCAAAGATATTTGTTAACACAGATTCTGAACAAGAAGAACTTATATTAGTGGTGTACAAGGTACAGAGTATGGGGTGATGTCAAAATGGAGTGGAGAACAAATTACTGATTTGAGAGACTTGCTGTCTATTAGTTAATGGCTTGTGAACTAGGCTCCCAGTTCAAAAGATCAAATTTTGGTAAACATACATGCAATTAATTCAGAATAAATAAGCACTTGTGAATTTTTTTCAAGAATACAATAATTTTTAATTGCTTTTAAAATAAAGTTGGTAAAAATTTTCCATTGGGAGAGTTTTGTTATTTTTCTCAAGTGATAATACTTTTATTGCTACCAAAAAAAATTGTGTTTTAACCCCAAGATCTGATTGTTAATTCTCCCCTCTAAATGGCACACAATTCCTTGTAAATAAGTTATGAGAATTTGGTAACAACTCCTTCCTGATAAGTTTGAGTATTCTCATCACCTAGTGGCTGGATAATGTAAGGATATTATAGGGAGAAGTTACTAGTTAATCACTTGTGGGAGTTAATGGGTTAATTGGTTTTGAATTCTTTTCTTTCCTGACCAGGCGCTTGAAGCAACAATATGCCTGATGATCTCTGGTACGTCAAATGCTGATACGATGATGCTGATTAGCAGGCTTCTAAATAAATATAAATTGTTTATTGATCAGATTTTTAAATTAACTACTTTCTCAACAATTACCATTATGTTAATTAGAGGTGATATTTTGCTCTTTCAGGTTCATACCCAACTCTAGACTTTTTTAGGAAGATTGACAACTTTATTGGCCCTCAACTTACTACACTGGCCAATATTATTGGTGAGCAAAGTGCCAAGAAACAGCAAAGGTATTTTATATATTATTCCAATAATTATCTGCTTAATTTATGAACTCTCATTTTGTTAATTTTCATCACTATCCTCTTGTGAGACTTGTCAGTTTAGCTGTTTTAATGTTTTCTTGATCATGTATAGCTCAGACCAACAATATCGCTATCTGTACTTCAACCACATGAACTTGGCTCAGAAGTCATCTGTTCACTCCAAAAAGTCATCACTTCCATGTGTTGCACCTGAGATAATGAGGCTTATGGGTGACATAAGTGCTGACTTTGCAAGGTAAAGTTTTAACAGTCTTAAATCATTCTAACTAGAAAGTGGTTGTGTACATTGAAACTATTTAGCTAAAAGTATAAAAATTATCTTCTCACCATTCTTAATAAACATACCATACAGTAATTTTCACATCAGCATACTAAAATGTAATACTTCTGTCATAAATGTTGGCTTTTTCCAGAGTAATTTCATGAACTAATAAATAATTATAAAATTAATGGTTTTGCTCTATCTTTAGTTTTCAGGAGGATGGTGAAACATTTGTGAAAACAATGTCAGATTGCTGGATTGTGGGAAGAAAATCTGACCAACGAGAATTATTTGTGATCTTAAATCAAAAGAGTGCAAACCTCATAGAGATTGATGGTGAGTGGTTTGAACTTAATTTTTCATCACACTTATGATAAGCCAAAGATGAATTACTGCAAAGTGTAAACAATAATAGGGGTTTATTGATTTCCCTCAATAATGCTGCAATTTCAATTACTTTGCAGAGGAAGTTAAAAGATTGGGCATCACACAATTTAACAACATCTTCTTCCTGGACTAGCATGAAGAAAAACAGTGGTACTGCAGGCAACAAACATATAGTGGCTGTCTCAGGGTAAAATGGTCACTCAAAATAGATTATCTAGTAAACAAGATGTGGGCTGACCTCCCTTTTTGGACAGGGAAATGTCACTCTGTCAATGAAACGGTAGAATAGTTGGGATCTTGGCATGAAATGGAACAAAATTTTTTATCAAAATTGCAGGAATGGGAATGGAAGTCTAATGGCTCTAAAAAAACAGCAATCTCAAATAGGAAGAAGGACATATCCAAAAAAGTATGAAATTAATTTAGTGAAACAAATTTAAAAATAAAAGTTATGAAATATGCTTTCCTCTATTTTCTCTTTTCTGTGGTGTAGATGTTAGTAAATCAAATGTAAATGTAAGTGAATTACAATTATTGGAAGTGGAAATTTTTCAAATATTGTTATTATGTTGTATTTAACAATTGGTTCATACATTGGTATGCATTCATTGAGATATGAAGCAAGCAGGAAGTTTGAAGAGCACAAAAGATGCATAAAAGTTGCTCGAGGCATAGCCTCGAGCATAGCTTCTTGAGTGCTCTCCAAACTTCCCAATTGCTTCATATCTTGATGAATGCACAGCTGACATATGAATCAATTGTTTTATAAAATTTTCAACCTAATGGTTTAAATGTTGTAAAAGGGTTTATATCCTTCAGGAAAACATTTTGCTACGCTGTAAACAATCTTGTTTCCATGTTTAGCTTAAAGTGCTGCCTTAAAGTCTTGACCAGTTTTTTAGTAGTAAAATCCCGCAGTAAAAAATCATGGAGAAAATTTTTTTTCTCAAGGGATTTGTTTGCTGACATCATGAGCATGCACAATAGGAATATGAAGCACACTCACGCAATTGAATTTGATTAGACAAATTTGCTTGTTTGTAGTAAAAGTAAAGAAAAAATTTCATCAAATGAAGACAGAAATTATTTATTTCAAGTAAAATTGTACAAGATTTACAACATTACAAATTGCTGTTCTTAAAATTCAAACTTTCCCATTTTTATATACAGTAAAACAATATTAATAGTAGATGAATAAAAGGCAACTTTGACAGGAAAAACATTTAACTTCAGTATTGTCACCAAATCAGAAGTAATTAATTAATTGAAAACAAAATATATTAGTTGACAACATTATGTTGAAGATGTAGGATATTTTAAATACTTTGACTCTTCAAAGTGATAAGTATCTCAAATTTAATGCAATATTGGGCAGGAAGGTAAACAGAATATCAAGATTACAGTATCAACTGATGGATTTTACTGTAGTATATCGGGGTGTTCCTCATGCATTGAAAACAAACTCTATGCTAATTTAGCAAAATTCCTGGGCTCAATTTCAATAGCCTGTGAGTATTTTTCATTCAGATGTTGAGAATGTTACTCAACACTACTCCCCTGCCGTAGTACCAGTTAACTGTCCCTTTCTTGATGGGAAGCCTGTGATATGGCACCAAATTTTTAGAAGTAGTCAACAGAGAAATATATGGCCATGAGATTAAACAAAAGTCCAAATTCACTTAGACCAACAGTTATAGAACAGAACCAGCAGAAGGGTACAAACAAAAAGAAGAAGGGATAAGGTAAAATTGTTTAACCCAATCTCCTTCTTGTTCCTTGCTATCATCTTGGGCTACTGGCATTGTTATGCAGCTGTTGTGATCAACTGAATGCCTGGGAAAGGCTATAGAGAGCATGGAGAATGAGTTCTCAGATCCTCTGAGGGAAAAAATGAATTCTGTATGCATTATGCAAGCCCAACACTGCCACTAGTTGTAGTTCTCTGTAAAAACATAAATAGTGCATGCCAAACACTATCTTGCAGGGAGGCCATGAAATTGTTTTAAAGAAGTCAATCTTGTCTTAAATAAATGCAATTTATGTCCAGAACATCTTTTTGACAAATTAACATTCTAAAACTGCTTCATCAGCCATACCAATTGGCGGAAGCCCCTCTAACATGGACCACTTTCTTACCACAAACATACTACAAGAGGTCAGAACAACTTCATCAGTGATGAAGACCCAAAACAAAGTTGGCAAACAAGGTTACCCTCATTTTCCTCTCTGGACCTCAAAACTTGACATTTGCATGGTAAAAACTTCTTGGAGAGAAAGAAGCTGGCTATGTCACTTGAACAATTCCCTCTTCCTGTGTTGTCCTTGGCTTCTTGTGAAACAGAATCAGAAGCATGAGAATCGGGAGGTAAATCAGACTAAACCGAAAAAGTTTCCTTGCAGACCTTGAATCTGAGTCTTTATAAAACTGATATCCTAAATAAGTATTCCAAAAGTTAAGAGGTAAAGAGTCCAAAGCCAGCCACCATGTTGTGACTCCACATGCTGGTAGAAGTGTTGTAAGACCAACCAATGCTAAACAGTGTCTCAATGTCACCCGTCTGCACAGGGGTGCATTTGTTACACACATCATGCGATAACCAGCTATGGTAAGACAAGAAAAACAAAACAAAATTAGGATAGGAAATTTGCTGATGGCACAGGAAGCTTACTATGATCTGCTGAAGGACAAAGAGATGCTGTATGCGCAGATAAGTTTTGGGTTCTCTTTGGCTTAATCACTGTTATAAAGTAAACTAATATTGATTATCAAAAGTTTTCTACATCAAAAGAAAAAGGATCAAGTTACCCAGTCTTGGTAGGAAAGAATAATAAAGCAGCAAGTAAGTAAATGTATATGACATGTTCACCTATTCTTTTTTCATATTCAGAAATTACTTTGGACCCCTGAGCACTGTATTGCTTAGATTCTCTTATAGACCCTTTCACTTACAAGATCCAATGAGTAATTCTCCTTACTCTATGCCATACAACTCTCATGATGCAAGTAAGGAGAACTTGTTATTGGATCAACTAATAGTCCCCATAACTTGTCTGCTTGATTTTGAATTAATATTTTAAGGAGAAATTCTGTATTGGTCACTCATTTGAGTTTGAGGGTTGAGAATCTCCATTGAAAGTAAATTTGGGTTCTAAAAATAGTGGAGAAATAACATGATCATCCATTACCTCTTGAATAATCAGCTCTGAGATTCCAGCTCAAAGCATTAAAATGTGGAAACTGCCAAGAGTACAAAATTCCTGCTAACACTAATCCACCAGCATCTATTCCTCCAGTACAAGCAGCCCAACCCATCAGGGGGGGCAATGCTCCCACTACTGACCCCACCCAAGTATTCACAATACTCAGACGCTTCATAGGGGTGTAGACAGATGTGTAGAGTATCAGGGTGGCTGCCCCTGTCAGAGAACAAAATAATACAACGTCATAATTTTACTTAGAGTCGCTAACATGCCTTCAACATGCTCAATAAAGTCAAACCTCCATGTGAAGTGAAGTCACATTTAGTTAAGTGTAGTACTAACCCAGGGCAGCAGTTAATCCATTGACTTGACTGGTTAATACAGAAACACCCATTACACCAGTTGCCATGGCAAACAGCACCACATGAAGAGGGCTATGGATAAACAAACGCAAAAATAACATGTATAAGTGACCAATGACGTAACTGATCTCAAAATAAAGAACACATGAGGGACCCCTCGTCATGGGATGACTCTTGTGTTGTTTGAATGCTACAATGCTTACCTCAAACGGGCCCTGACAAGAACACGGTTTTGTGTGCGGCTCATTTGTGAGTCAAAAGGAACTTCTAGCCACTTTAAAAAACAATCAAACAAATTTCATCTGATTTTGAGTCAATGTAAGAGAATAAAAAAATAAAAATTGGATGACACAGGACCACCACAACTTACACACTTGAAATAAAAAACCTTTTTTTTCAAGCATTTGCAATCAAATATGTATACCTGGTTAAATGCATTTGCCGAAGATGAACAGAGGCCTGTTCCTAGTCCAGCCCAAAGAAAAGTACTAAGATTCATGGCCCCTGGTGCAATGGCATATCCTGCCATTTCTGTGATTACCACAAGACCTACAGCAAAAATGGAAATAACACTTACTGCATCTGACTAAAAAACACTCACAATACTATGTGAACTACCGGTACATGTATTGGAGAAGTAAATAGAAAGACAAACTTTTTTTCCCCATCCCCTCCCCCTCTTGTACCCACTCTGGCCTGGTAAAAAGTGAACTATAGGAGTACTTAATAGTAACACAAACCTCTTTCCTTATCCCTCCCACTGTTACTTCCCATCTTCTAGGCCCAAATCAAACAAAATTCTAAGTTGAATTTGTAGTTGTAATAATCTTGCACTGAAGTTTGCAAAAGGTCCCACAACTAAATTAAGAATACAAACCTGTTAGTCTGATCTTCGACAGTTGCATGTACTGTCTTGGCAATTTTTTCAAATCAAGTTTTTGTTCCACCCACTCCTCCTCTGTGTCATCACTCTTCTCCTCTACATGAGAGAGACCTTCCTGGGTCTCTACACCACATGATGTCTTTCCAATCAGTGCCACTGAAGTTGACTTTGGCTGAAAAGAAAGGGTACATAATGTCAGCAAATACAGTAGAACCTGCTCACTGCGTTAACTTGCACCCCCTGCTTGCTCAAACAAAATCCTTGATCCCTTGGATTTTACTCTATTTTTCGAGTCATTTACTATCTGTTAACTTGAACCCAAGTAACTCCAACTATCTAATTTTTTTTTCTTCCCTTTGCTCAAGTTTACTCTGATAACTTAAACTTTCAGTAAAACTGTGCAAAGCTGTACAGAGCTGTACAGCACTCTATTAAGCAAAAATTCTTCTTTCCAGGTGCTAAACATTCTCCGGAAAAAATTAATTCTCCTGAATCGTGTATCAATTAATCATTTGCCACTTGGATCTATCACTGTTAGCAAAGATTGAGAAAATTTGGAAATATTCACAAAAATACGGTGATCTCTAATTTCGTGTAAGATGGTCTCGACTTCATTAACATATATTAATATTATGTAATCCCGGTAACATGGCGACAGGACCTCAGCATCTGTCGTTTGGATCTTTACAGTCTCGCAACTAACTGAACCACCTTTGAAAAACACAGGTTACACGCTTAGGGCTAGAGATCGGAGATCACCTTAATTACAAAGCGTAGTAAATTTTCTTAACTTGTCCACGTTAAAGTTTACCTTTACCTCCCCCGAAACTTGATTACGAAAAAACCTAAGAACATGCTGGACCCACCTTGCTTTGACAAGCACTAGTACTTTTAGGCTGGCCATATGAATCACTCAAAAGACGTTCTTTGGGCTTGACTCTAGAGAATCGTGCTTTATATTGATGCAACCAACGGAGAGTGGACTTGTTAGAATTAGAGACATGCCGGTAGAAGACCACGGCTCGATGCAGCGAACAGGCACCTAAAAATAAAACACTAGTTAAACGCCCTCTTCAGCTTGCTTATTACTACAATAAAATTGCCACTTACGACACAACAGAAGACGAGAGTTCATCATAACTTGGTCATTTTGCGGCTAATACTGGCCGCCATGTTTAATTGCACGTTTCATGTCAGAAACGGCAAGACATCAGCGGTTGTTTGTAATAGCCCCAGTCTCCTCGACCAGTTTCCAATGCAATCTTTTTATCACCCTGAAATCTGTTGATAAAATGGCGTCAGAACCTTCAGGCTTACTTTAGTACAGTTACTATGGGTAGAAAGAACAAAAGTGGTGTGTCTCCTCAGAATCAAGAATCATGTCATAAGCTAAATTTCTTGCATCAGGTAAGTAAATTTTTTAAGATTATTTGTACCTAGCTCAAATGCTGTCCAAAGCTGATGGTTTAATATCTAACTGCTAAACAAATACACTATTATTTTGATTTAACCACTATTTTCTCATAAAAACAAATGTTTGTTAATTATTCTACAGGCTTCTCATGTAGTGCTGGCCATCAACCCAGAAAATGTGGAAATGTCAAGATTTTATGCAAGCACAATGAAATCAACAGCTCAAAAACTGGTGTTTAAATTGTATGCGTTATAAATCAGCACTTTATTGATATAAGAATATGGTTGGATGGTATGGAAAACCTATAGGATTATCATTTGTGTTGGATCAACGCTATTTAATTTATGTGGAATGTTGAATTGGGGGCTGCATTTTCCAGCAAACAAATAATAAGACTACTCACTAGTCAGATAGAGGTTGTTATTGTGATCTTAACACTAAATTCTCGTAGCTAATTTACAAGGAAATGTGTTGTATTTGGAGGGGAAGAATTAACAATCAGGTCTTGGGAGTTAAAGGGTTAACTGATCAAGAAACTTAAGGTCAACACTGGGTGAAACAGTCATGTAATGTTTTCAATGCTGGATTCTATATTGAAAGGTTTGGGTTCTACCCCTGTCAGTGTCATACTGTTGTGTCCTTTAGCAAGACCTGACTGACTATTTCCAACAAGGAGTTTAAAGGTTGTGAACCATCAGGGGAACCTTACAAAATTCTGGGCATAAGCAGGAAGTAAACTGCCATTTACAAGTATATCATCCAGGAAGAATTGCTATTGCATTGTTTTTCTATTCCACTGAATTATTTGTTGCTTCTATTGAATGAAATTAGTTTAGTGTGAGAGATGGCAACAAAAATGTCACACAACAGAGAGTTTTTTCTTTTAAACTTTAGCAGAGAAAACAGCCCTGTTACCTTATTTTATCAACCTCTTACTTAAAGTAACAATCACTTTATTTTAATACATTTGGTGTGTGTAACCGAACTGTTTTCTTCTGTCAGGGATCCAAGCATCAAAAGGACTATTTGCAAGCATTGTCATGCTCTTCTCATACCAGGAATTACAGCAAGAGTCAGAGTCAGACGTAAGTTGGACTAACATCTTGAGTTTCTACATGAAATGTAGAATATGTTTACCCTGTGCTTTTTTACGCAAAAAATAACCATCGATGCTTGAAGTGTTATTTTCCAAAGAAGCAGTTGTAGTGTTGTGGCAGATAAAAGTTGTAGTCACGTGGAGATTTCTACTGTGATACATGTTTTTCAAAAAAATGAGATAAGCTTTAGTGTGCCATATCCAGAGTTTGATTTGACAAGACTCCATATTTCTAGACTTGTAGGTATTAAGTCTTGGTGTTCTTTTCTTCAGGGAGAAGAGAGAGACACATTGTGGTTACATGCCTGGAATGTCAGACCATCAAAAGGTATCTCTGTAGACCTAACCATGTTTTGTGGAGTGAAAAACACAATACCACCAAGCAGCAAGATAATGACAATGATGAGGTTGTGCAAGAAAATCAAAAGGAAAGACAGGAGAAGAGTTAATGATTGTCAGTCTTGAGAAAAGGAAAAGGGGCACTCTCCATTTTTTTACTGCAAGGTTGGGGAGGATTTTCTGTCTGGAGGAGCAGAAAGATTTTTCGACCAACAAAATTGAACAGGACAAGTGTGATCCTTCTGCATAGAGTTTACTTTTTTCCTTTTTAGAGCATACATACTCAAGTGTGCATGAACAGAAGCCAACAACTGGATAATTTATAATGGCGTGTGTTTCTAGTGAATAGAAGCAAACAGTAAAGTAAATTTTGCTGTTTTCCGGTCATCTCAGATGTTAGAAATGACAATATGTATTACATCATAAACATGTGACACACATCACAAAATTAGGAACACATCACACTTTAGTGGTCTGGCCACCCAAGATGATAGGTGGCCAGTTCCAGATGTTCTTTCTGTAAAACAGAGTGTAATAAACAAACTGCACCCTTTGTTTTATTTACTGAACACTTGGAATGGGCTAGGATTTTATTGAGCATGTAAGGATTCACATGACTATGAGTCAATGAAAAACCATTTGCTTGTGAGACAGCTCTGAAAAAGTAAAAGACTGTAGGATAAAATAGGATAATAAGGAAATTTCTCACCAGGCATAACTACTTTCACTGTGTGATCAACTAGTTTGTATGGATTTAGGTGTAAGGGAAAGCAATTAAAATTTTAGTCAAATTTTCCTAAGAAGAAAAGAAAATGAGTTCAGATGAAAAACAAAATGTTTCTTATTTTTTAGTAACAAGTGAAACATAATCCTTTGGTCTGACTGCTTCTTTTTGCTTTTGGCAATTAATTCCTAATCTTAACTTATTCTCATGATTTTCTTTCTGTCTGTCAGTCATGCCTGATTTGTATTATTAACTAACACTCAAGGAGTTTTTTCTTCTATTTTTCGGGTTAACCTATTATTAGCAGGTGTTTACACTGTTGCATTGTAAATCGTAAAGCGAGTCACTCATTAGAAAGGTGAATAATTGTAAATATTGGGAATCAAAATGATTCTAAGGGAAATGATTTTGGAAAATTTTGTAAACAATTTGAGGCAAATCTGAAACCATTGATGCGCAACTTTGGACAAGCAGCGGTCATTTATCGGTATAGTTTAATCTATCTGAATTGTAATCATACCTTCCAGTCAAATTAAAACGTGTGTAAAGTATTTTTATGAGAGAAGCGCTAAAACGCTTTGAATAATAACTCGACGATTAGAAGATTTGCCAATAATTCTCAAGACAGCTCATGCAAACCAAATACTGTTATGTAATAACAGGAAAAAGCATTTCTATATTCACGCCGTATCAGCTTTGAAAATCCAAATCCGAGAAAATGACAGGTTTGAATTGCTAAGATTTAAAGGCGTTCTTTGTCCAAACGGAAATAAAATCTTACCAGTAGGAGGCCTGTCAAACATGAAAAGATAATTGCCCTTGAAAAAACAGCTTGCTTGACTTGTGAATTTCTTGAATCTTTTGTATATTGTGTTGCATAGACAAAGATCAATTTTCTTATCAACATTGGCCGAATTAAAATTTTTCAATGCTTCTGTTGATCCTTTACAACGTTACTTCTTTGATTTGGTGGATCTCACCACTAGATTATTACTCGGATTCTTTGCCATCATCTTCTGAGGCGTGAGAAGGCGAGATAGTTCTTGGGGTTTGATTGCCTTCCTTTGTTTCTACATTTTCCGCTGCGACACTAGCAACGCCGTCAAATCTTGAACTCGTGGCGTCGCTGAATTCATCGCCTGACAAACCACCCTGGCTAGTATCTCCGTAGTTCATTCCGTGTACGTCAAGTGAGATATCGACATTTGTCGTCACGCTAGTTGGAAAAAAATGCGCTTGTGGGTATCCAAATGAAGTAGGATGATGACGTACCATTGGGTATAAATTATTTCTTTGAGCGAGGTTTTGCGTTCGCTGTGGGGCTGGATAGTAAGTGTTTCCATCTGGAAAATTAACTTCCGCAAATCCATGACCTCGATGAGCGTACAATGGTGTAGAAGGTACCATCGGGTATTCTGGCGGTTGTGGTCGATGAACCCTCCTGCTCGAGTTATTTCGAATCCTCGGCGAATATCCACGCCCTTCTCTTCTTAAATGTCTAGTCCAAGCACAGCAACAGACGATAAAAATCACGCCGAAGATTCCCACATAGCATAGCGTGGTCACGATCAGGAACTTGGAATCTACCATTGTCGGGCTTCGCTGTCAACTAGGCCATGTGATACGCACAATGTTCTCTGACGAATGTTTATACTATTAAGTAACAGACGCACATAAGGTCAATAAATCTGTCAAAGCGTTATTCTCATAATGAAGAGTGCTAATCGACTCGTGCAAGCCAAGTTCGAGCTGAATTATAAGTCTTCCCACTTGGGGCGTAGTAAATGATTAAAAAAGTCTTACACTCTGGCGTAGTTTCTGAACTCGTGTCGAGCACAGCAAAGCGACCTCAAAATCGTCACTTTAATTTTTCGGAAAACTTCTGATATTGTTTTAGAACGCTCTCGAATGTTTCTGCGCTGCTTGTAAGCAAGCGATCGGAAACAGTTGAATGAATGAAATATCCTCAATAAATGAATAATAAGAGCCGACGAACACAACAAAGAAATGTCAGCGGAACCGAGATAACACTTATCGCTAGGGGCAGGAGGGGTGGGTCAGTAATGACCGTGCCATGGATCTATTAAAGTGTCATTAAACTGAACAGTTTCTTTTTTTTTTTCAATATAATGAATTAAAGCATCTGAATTTTTAATAAATATATATAACACAGTTCTTACAATTACAACCATGATAAGTACTGGAAAGTCACCGAACACACAGTCACAATGACAATCCCACTCTATTTAGTTTAATATCAGTTCACACCAAGAAACTTAGCCACTTTTCACTCAGTAGTTGCGTTACTAAGGTACTATGCTTTCCTAAAGGATTTTACCTATGGACATAAGACCGATCGCAGTCATAAATCGACTCTCTGCTTTTGCTTGAACGTTTTATACTGACGTGCACATGTACAGTTAGCATGCCGCTCGCCCCTTTAAAAGTTCAGTTTATACGACAATGTTTAACTAAAAATCCAAAATTATGGTACAATTATTTTCCCGATACGAACGACTACGGGTGTTGAAACCCAAAAATAATACTATGAAACTACGAATCTGCTATAGCTAAGGTCCAGCCCAGCTAACCAGATCTATACATATTCATATACGTGCTCACCTGGTGAGCAACTGCAATTGAAAAGTTTTGTTTTAAGCGACACACACTCTTTGCAGAAGTATATATTATGTCATATAAATTTTATATTATACTATAAAAAGGGAGATCTTTGTAAATGCTCGTGATGTCATATACTACGATGGGCAAAACAAATCAAACCAGCGAAATTGATTATATATTTTCAACCGGAAATATATTTGAGAGCCTTGTGAAAAGCGTCAGAGCTAATGAAAACGTGGCTATCTGTGACATATACAAATGAAAATATTTACGAGACAAAATCTGCCGTAACTCGCCGAGCGCACTCTCGTTCGAAGACAACCACAGTATCTTCTTTATGAACTAGCGAATCCGTGATAAAAATGGAAATTAACCCTTAAACTCCCAAGATCTCATTAGTAATTCTCCTTACTGTCTGCCATATAGTTCTTGTGATGTTAGTTAGGAGAATTTAGTATTGGATCAACTAATAATCCCTTAATTCATGTTTTTCGTTATTCTCATCACTTGTCTGCTTGATATTGTATCGATATAGTAAGGAGAAATTCTGTCTTAGTCACTCATGGGAGTTAAAGGGTTAACGAAGATCAACACCAGCGACAAACGTAAGTCATAGTTAACGTAGACCCACGAGCAGTCCCTCCTTTCCGGCAAAGACTTTTTGCTAGCGCAAAAAGACTTCGCTGAAAAAGGGGATACTCATAGTCTATAATTTCAAAAAACAATATCTTAGTAACCTTTTTTTCGTATCCTTTTTTTTTTTTTTGCGGTAGTTGATTTTTCTCAATTTTTACCCCTACTTCCTCACTTTTTACCCTTTTTTCCTTTATTAGATTTTCCTTTCTTGTTTTTACCGCCGCGCCTTGAGTCGTCATCGTCATCATCATCATCGTCGTCGTCGTCATCATCATCATCATCGTCGTCATCGTCGTCATCATCATCATCATCGTCGTCGTCATCATCGTCATCATTATCGTCATCGTCATCGTCATCTTCGCTATCTTCAGTCCTCTTACTAGGCGCCTTATTTTCCGTTCGTGAAGAAGTCGAAGCACTGGCTTTTCTTCACTCTCTCGTTGTTCTTTCTTCTCCAAAGGCGATACCGCCTTTTTGATGGCCAACATCTTCCATGACTGGTAGATTCCCCACTTGTTGACTTCCAACAAGGCGAATCACGCATTCTTCCAACTCCTTCCACATATTGAGGTATGCAAACGTTGGGGTGTCTGTGTTTAACGAATACACGTCGATGATCTTGAAGGTAATACCGAATAACTTTGTTTACGTCTTGTTCAATGGCATCCTGTTCTTCATTCCGCTGGAGAGAAAATAGAAATGAAAATTGTAATGAAAAAGTTCAAATTAATCTGAAACAAAATTCATGTTTCCTACAGGCATAACAGTCTTTTAGAAATTGGGTAAAAAACACAAAACGACGAAAAAGGAGGAAGAATTTGGGTTCATCATAGCCATAACTTTAACCGTCAAGTCACGCTTTTCAAGCCATCTGTTACGTTCTCACATGATGAATGAGAAATTCCTCCCTAGTTTTCCTAATCCTTTCCCTCCTCCTTTTTGGAAGAAAATAACCTGAACAGAGTATCATCGATAAAAACTGAAAGAGGATTAGGATAGATAATTAAGGCTAATTGGATGGATGAAGAAAAAGAAAAGTTATGAAATATTTTCAAACGTTTAAGAATTAAAAAAGGCTTAGAAATGGTAACATTTACTTCACTCTGTAAATTTTTAAAACAAAATGATTGCAGTTCAATGCCCATACTAGTTTAAAAAAGCGTTTAAAAATCCTTCAAATTTAAGGTTTCTTCCATAAACTTAGTAACATTCAACCCCTTCACTACAGGACGTGATTGGGTTCACTATTACTGTTTACTATTCATTACTAATACATTATAAAACATTATCAATTTATTTCCTGAAACTTAAATCACCACAGTTAATAATGACGATATGGATAAAGTCATCAGTACTAACACATTAATTTACCAATGTTACTTGATAATCATATAAATTTACTGATCACTTAACAATCCTGAGTTACTTGCGGAAATGGCAAGCCGTCGTGACAATTGTTATAGTTATCAATGTTGCAAGTACAAATAAATGAAATGAAAGGTTTAGTGCTAATGTGTATATCTTAAATCTGACCCCTTGACGCTCCTGTACGATTAGTAAAAGACTAAAAATTTTTCTCACTTCAGAAAATCTAACATTGAACTGTTTGGATGAGACTTATGCTTCAGAAAAAATCTTAATGTGAAATTTACTTACTTCCTTGAAAAGTTCTCAATTCTTGATAACCTTACTAGTTCAAAATGTCTTGAAAACAGTTTTAATACACATTTTTATTGATTGAAAGTCACATTCTTAATATATATATCTGATATATTTTAAATTTATGACTTGCCAAGTACTCTCCACATGAAGTGGTTCGTTCAGCCTCGCTTCAATTTTTTAAACTTGTTTTGAAGATGTAATTACGTTCGTTTCGATTTTCCTTCACATTTATTAACTCCTTAAGATATTATTTAACCGATCCAAAGTTCATTGCATTACCGATACTTTTACAGACAAACATGACTGAAAACTTTCAAGATTCTTTCTAGTTTTATAGGAAACTGATGGAAAGATCAGTATTTCTCGCTTGAAATTAAAAGATAAACTTTCAGCCGATTAATTCCACAAGTTTACAAATTATGACAGCTTGTCTTGCACTGGACGTCAATTAATACTTTATTAATATATCATCTATACTAAACAGTAGCCTAGGTGTGTCATACCTCCCCGCTGGAGGAAACCTTCCGTTTCTGCTTGGGAGGGTACACTTCTAATGAAACTTCTAAATGCAACCCTGAAATTGCTTCAGTCGGTGCTGCTTATGATTAATCTCTTTCTAAGTTTTAAGCACCGAGGAAGGTCAAGCGATATTATAACGAAAACACCGAAGTTTAGAAGAATCAGTTACTTTAAGTCATTTTTGGATTAAAATGAGATAAAAAATATGAAGCGCAATTCGCAAAAAAATTTTGGCTAGCTAATCAAACCCCAAAAAAAGTCGCCATTTAGAAACTTGACCGTTAAACTTCGTTTTAATGAACAGCATACATAAATGTTTCTTTTTAAACTGTAGATACTAGTGCGCTACAGTTTCTATTCCTTTTATGCCACATTTTATGGTAATCAATATATTTTAGCTGAATTATTCATTTTATCGCCTTAAACGCAGAACTCTCGAGTTATTAAAATTCTGATCACGTTTAAAAGTACGTCAGCTTAATTTTTTTGTTTCAATGTAGAGAAAACTTTAAAAGAAGATGGACTGAAAACAGAAATGCACAAATTTGCATTGACTACGTGGCGACATACTGGAATTGATCTGCTGTAACTGCTCCTTGAGTTCCTCAATAGAATCACCTCGCTGCAGATTTCAAACCTCAGTTAGTAAAAACACAAACATTACTGTACGTATATGAGATTTTTGGAGGTAACGTGAAACTAGATTTCACGTTGGCAAGGACACCGCAAACTTTCAGTGGGAAAATCTGATCACTATCACAGAGACGAAAATAACTTCTACGAATAGAAAGACATGTTGAAAGTAATCGGGAATTGTATTGGTCGCGCGAAACAACGATGCGAACTGAAACTAAATTACAGAAAACAGCATGGATCCATTTAAACATTGTTATTGACTCTGGGTCGATTTTACCCAATTTTTTTGCTTGACAACAAGTTGTGCGAGGTTTTGTCTGCGCAACCGCGCCTACAAATAAAATCAATAGCTGCTAAGCTGCTAATTAATAACTATTTCGAACCCTGAAAAGGCACGCGTGACTACCAATACTGTAACTTCTTCATCAGAGACGCTGACAGACAAGAAATTAAATCTTTCCTAATGCAGATGAAACCCCCTTCCCAGCTCTATCGTGCTGGCAAGCTCCCTGCTC